GTTATCCTCAGAGAAATCTAGATATGTTGTTAGGAAAGGGATCTTATGAGGATCAGCAGCAACAAACTGCATATGATCCTGGCGTATACTCACAAATTGCTGTAGATGCGGTTAGGGCATGGAAGACTTTACAAGGACATGGAGATTTGCAAGGTCAATTATCTAAGGTAATACAAGGAGCTAATGAACCTTATGCTGAATTTGTAGATAGGCTTATTCAAACAGCTACCAGAGTTTTTGGAAATACAGAACAAGCAATGCCATTAATAAAACAACTGGCTTATGAGCAAGCAAATCATTGGTGCAGAGAAGTCATTAGACCATGGAAACATGAAAATTTAAACACATATATTAAATTATGTAGAGACATTAATGAACAAGGGCAACTAGTGGCAGCTGCAGTACAACAGGTTTTAGATGCCAGGCCAAAAACATGCTACAATTGTGAACAAACAGGACATTTTAAAAGGAATTGCCCCATAGGAGGAGGGTTTAACAAAACTAGGTATCAAAGGAGTAGAATACTGGGTATTTGCCCATGATGCCATAGAGGGAGACATTGGGCTAATGAATGCCATTCTCAAACCACCATAGAGGGTACTCCATTATCAAAAAATGAACAAGGACCAGGTGTTTATCCACGATATCATGGAGAAAGGCATCGGGCTCCGTTGCCAAAAAATGGACAGGGGGGCCCAATGCTCCGGGGCCCCAGACTACAAATATACGGAGACTGGAGGAACCCAGCAACCCCATCAGGGTAGTGCCCAGGACACATTGTCCATTAGATCTCTCATCAGACAAACCAGAGGGAGCGCAGGGTTGGACATCTGTGCCTCTGCCAGAGCAGTACTAACTCCAAAGATGGAAGTTCAGATCATTCCCACAGGGGTAAAAGGACCTCTTCCCAAAGGAACAGTAGGCTTATTATTGGGATGCAGTTCTTCTACTCTAAAAGGACTTATGATAAGTCCTGGGGTAATTGATCCCGATTATGAAGGTGAAATAAAAATTATAGCCAGTTCTCCAAAGGGTATATCAGTAATTTCACCAGGAGATAGAATAGCACAGTTACTAATAATACCCAGCCTACATGATAAATTTTCCAGTCGTACTGTAGAAAGAGGTTCCAAGGTATTAGGTTCCACAGGTGTGGATTGGGCTATGCTTTCTTTAAATTTAGATTCTCGCCCCATGCTAAAACTAAATATTCAAGGACATGAATTTAATGGGCTACTGGATACAGGTGCAGACCTTAGCTTCATCTCTCATCAAGAATGGCCAAAACATTGGCCATTACAACAAGCCACTCAAACGCTTCAAGGCCTAGGAGTGGCAACTAATCCCCATAGAAGTGCAATGGTATTAGATTGGAAAGATCCTGAAGGATGTGAAGGAACTATACAGCCATATGTATTGGATCATCTTCCTGTAAATTTATGGGGTCGAGATGTCCTAGATCAATTAGGTTTGACATTAACAAATAACATCAATCAAAATGCACCCACTATTACGACTAGACAAGGTTTTAGGAAGGGGAAAAGATTAGAAAAACAAGAACAAGTTATAGCAGCACCAATACAAATAGATCAAGGAACGGACAGACATGGGTTGGATTTTCAGAAAGGGCCACTGAGACAATAAAAATTACTTGGAAATCAGAAAGACCAGTATGGGTTCCTCAGTGGCCCCTGACTAAAGAAAAGATACAAGCAGCCCATGACCTGGTCAAACAACAATTAGCGGAAGGACATATACAACCTTCCCTATCTCCCCATAATACTCCCATTTTTGTCATCAAAAATAAATCTGGTAAATGGAGATTATTGCAAGATTTAAGAGCTATTAATAACAAGATGGTTATTATGGGACCTGCTCAATCGGGGATTCCTCAATTGTCTGCTTTGCCAAAAACTGGTATGTTTTCATTATAGATATTAAAGATTGGTTTTGTTTTTTTTCAATTCCAATTCATCCTGAGGATAGTCCACATTTTGCATTTTCTGTCCCTGCTTTGAATCATGAAGGTCCTGATCAGAGATATGAATGGAAAGTACTCCCTCAAGAGATGGCTAACAGCCCAACTATGTGTCAAATTTATGTTAACAAAGTAATCCAGCCACTTAGAAATCAAAATCCTGAACTATGGATGATGTATTATTAGCACACAAAGATAAAAACACATTGCTAGAATGTTATGCCACACTTACAAACTTATTAAAAAATTATAATCTAGAGATAGCAATAGATAAAGTACAATTAAATTTTCCAATTAATTATTTAGGAGTTCTATTATCCTCAACCATGGTCCGTCCACCAAAAATTCAAATACGAGTAGATCAACTCAAATCACTTAACGACTTTCAAAAGTTATTAGGAGACATAAATTGGATAAGGCCTTATCTAGGTATACCAACAGGAGAGTTGGGACCTTTATTTGATATCCTAAAAGGTCCATCAGATCCAAATTCACCCCAAATGTTAATGCCTGAAGCACGAAAAATCATTATGGAAAATAGGCATTTGGATAGAATTTATATAAGTTTGCCTTTATTATTTATTGTAATACCAACAGAAAATATTCCTACAGGAGTATTTTGGCAAGAAGGTCCATTATTATGGATACATTTATCTTATTCTCCTAACACTATTCTTACTAGGTATTCTGAGGCTGTAGGACATTAATACTCAAAGGAATAAAAGCAGCAAAGGGAGTGTTTGGAATTTCTCCCAATAAAATTATTACTCCATATACTATGGATCAAATTGATAAGTTAGGTAATGAGTTAAATACTTGGGCAATAATCATGTGCAAATCTAATGTTTCATTTGATAACCACTTACCATCTAATCCTTTGTTGTCTTTTTGGTCTTCGCATCCTGCAGTTTTTCCAAAAATGACAAGAAAAACCCCTATCATGAATGCTCCAAATATATTCACTGATGGGTCAAATAATGGTACAGCAGCAGTAGTTACCCCTGATCAAACTTTTACATTTTTAGTACCCAAATGATCAGCTCAAAAGGTAGAGCTTAATGCAGTATTACAAGCTTTTGTGATGTTTAAAGATTCTGTATTTAATTTATTTTCCGATAGTCAGTATATAGTTAATGCTATAGTATCCCTTGAAGATGCTGGTAGGATTTCCCCTTCCTCTACTGTTTTCTCTTTGCTTTCCACTATACAAAGTCTAATCTGGGACAGAAAAGATCCATTTTTTATAGGACATATCAGGGCACATACAGGATTGCCTGGAGCCCTTAGTTTGGGCAATGATTTAGCAGATAAAACTACACATGAAATACATATTTTTTCTACACTAGAAGAAGCTACAAATTTTCATAAATCCTTCCATGTCAATGCAAATACTTTAAAAAAGCATTTTAAAATAACTAAGGAACAAGCTAGACAAATAATAAAACAATGTCAAAATTGTGTGACCTTTTTACCCCAAGTTAATCTTGGAGTCAATCCTAGAGGACTGATATCTAACCATATTTGGCAGATGGACGTCACACACTTGCCAGAATTTGGAAAATTAAAATATTTGCATGTTACAGTTGATACTTCTTCTGGATTTTTGATGGGCTCCCTTCATGCCGGAGAAAAAACTAAAGATATTATAGTTCATTGCTTACAAAATTTTGCCACTGTGGGTGTTCCAAAACAGTTAAAAACAGATAATGGTCCTGGTTATACTTCTACCTCTTTTAAACAATTTTGCTCATCATTTGGCATTACTCATATAACAGGAATCCCATACAATCCACAGGGACAAGGCATAGTTGAAAGAGCTCATCAAACTATTAAAATGTACTTATTAAAGCAAAAAGAGGGAATTGGGAAAGGGTATGTATTCCCCAAAGATAAACTTAAAATAATCCTTTTTACTCTAAACTTTTAAAATTTGGATTCATCAGGGCTTAGTGCTGTGGAAAGGCATATGTGTCCAAAAATTGTACATAAGCCCAAGGTACTTTGGAAGGATATTCTAACAGGACAATGGAAAGGTCCTGACCCAGTGATTGTCTGGAGTCGGAGGTCTGTTTGTGTGTTTCCATAGGGAGAACAGCAGCCGATTTGGATTCCAGAGAGACTAACTAAAGCAATTTCTACAGACCAAAAAGAAGATGATTTGGCTTAAATCCATAACAGCTGATATCCAGAGCTCCAGCTTGGCTATTCTTACATCTGCGACAGTGGTTCTCCCACACCTGGAGGCTAATGAATAATGAACACCATTAAGGCCTATTTCTAATGTAAAAAAACCTTGGGGCTTGCTTGTAGGAATACCTTCAGACCCATATGCAAGTTACAGGAAGAAGGATGGGATATCAAAAGAAGAGTCAAACCCAGGTGGTAACCAGGATGCTTTTTTCAATATCTATTTTATTATTGCCCTCTCCCACATCATAAAGTTCTATTTTATTTTTTGAGCTCATACAGACCTGGGTTAATGTTTTTCTGATTAGTTCCTTTTTTTGACTGTGGAGTTTTTAAACATTGCAATGGATATTTCACCTGTGTAAAGCTACAAGGCCTTTACTATTGTTGTATGTTATGTGTGCACACTTCTGTTTTGTGTTGTATGTCTGTATGTGTGTATGTCCATATATCATATATGAGGCGCGCTCATGAAAAAATGGATCCAAATATTTTTTTATTCACGTGATTTAAATGGTTTAATTTAAATTGGGTGAACAGCTGTTGAGGATTGTTTTAAAATGTGAACAAAAAAGGAGGTTAACAGATCTGTTTGTTTACTTTCACCTTTCCTTTTCATTATATTTAATTCTATTCAGGATACTAAACTGTTTAGAAAATTGCTTTTTTTAGTGCCTGCTGGAATGCTACATAATTTTTTTAACCATCATTGCCAGAATTCCAATCTTCATCCCAGTGCCGGTGAAGACAAAGATAAAACCAAACTACAGCTTCTGCGATAGTTATCACAACAAACTGTATAAACTGATGCATCAATGAATAATAACTCAACAAGTAGTGCTCAATCAAGGAGTCGATTTACTTTGGGAGGAAATGGACATATTGATAGATTCCTCTGCTTTGAACTGCTTGCAGAACTTGCCTAGACTATGTATCACTTGTATGCATTGTGAACTATCTGTTGGTGCAGCGACTTGTGGTAGTGCCGGGGTATCTTTGCTGATGGTGTCATCGGTGGTACAATTTTTCCAAAAGGAGCCGTCATTTGGCTTGGTATCATGGCATTTTGTATCCTCCTCCCTTCGGCTTGTGATGGTCATTATCCACAAGTATGGCTGAGTGTGTTGGGCCGGTAGTTAAAGACGGGTAAGATCTAATTGCAATGGTACCAACCTAAGACAGGAGGCTAACGCCTTGAGGTCAGCTCATCCGATGACGGGTAAGGACCATATGTAGTATTGGACAACCTAAAACAGGCACGGTCCCTAAGCCACATACTTGTTGTTTAATTAAACAGAAGGGGGAGATGTTGAGAGCCACAGCCAAGTCAAGATGGCACCTGGCATTTTGCCAGAAGGAGTGGTGGAGAAGTAACGCCAGTGAGCCATTAAGATGATGATAATTCAGTTAAGCTGTGTATAATTATTAAGATAATGACTGATTGCTGTAACTGGATGATGCTAAATTGAAACAAGCTGTGTATTCAGTTGTGTATATAAACCTCTGCTGTCCGGCAATAAGGTGGCTCCTGCTACCTTGGGTGCCCGCCACTTTTAAGTTCTCGCGGAGTTCCCGTTGAGTTCCAGCGGAGTTCCCGTTGAGTTCCCGTGGAGGTCGGGCAATAAAGTAGTTCCTGTTTGAACCTACAAGTGGCTCGTGACCTCCCAATTATTTGTGCCCAGCCAGATTGCGGTACCAGTCAGCCATCTGCTGTGTGCAGCAACCAGATCCTGTGCCTCTCTGCCCCTCGCGCCTCTGCCAAGTCAGGTTCCTTGGCCGCCTCAGCCTGCTGCACTGGGGTGGGGTGACCCCAGCCCCCAGAGCCCCCTAGGCCCCTTGTGGCTGGGAGCACATGATGTATCAAGCCTGTGGCCCTCAGGTTTCAAGGGGCTATGGATGACTGGGCTGGCTCTGCCCCTCACAGGGTCCAGGCACTGCACCCACAAAGGGGGACAGTGAGGCCCACCCAGGGGTCAGCGTCCTGTGTATGTGGACATGGGCACACCCAGACATGCACACAGGGACATGGGCACACCCAGACACACACAGGGACATGGGCATACCCCCACACACACACACACAGGGACATGGGCACACCCAGACAGGGACATGGGCATACCCACACACACACACAGGGACATGGGCACACACACACAGGGACATGGGCACACACACAGGGACATGGGCACACCTAGACACACACACAGGGACATGGGCACAACCAGACACACACACAGGGACATGGGCACACACACACAGGACATGGGCACATACAGATACACACAGGGACATGGGCACACCTAGACACACACACAGGGACATGGGCACACCCAGACACACACACAGGGACATGGGCACACCCAGACACACACACAGGGACATGGGCACACCCAGACACACACACAGGGACATGGGCACACCCATGATTCCAGTGGCAGAGGGAAACTTTGAGCCCTGAAGGAGGTGGGAGGTAGAGGGGCATTATAACTGAAGACCCCTTGGTGGTAGGGAATCCACGCTCTGTCCAAATAGCAGAGAGGGAGAGGAATGTGTGGAAGGCGTGTTTGGAGCCAGCGTAGACATAGAGGAGGCCCCCGTTGCCACAGTGAAGGCTCTTTCGAGGGCACCAGTTCAGCCTGCTGGTTGGATGAGTTACTGGGGAGGGGAGCAGCTTCCACAGTGGAGGTGAGAGAGACTGTGGCACACGCTGCCTGACGACTCCCCCTGAAGGAAGGAGAGGCCATCTGTGGACCCTGTGCATGTGGCCTGGAGCAGGGCCCTCCTGTGTGTGGGACGGGTGCAGAGGGAGCTCCTCAGAGTCTCAGTGCATGAATGGTGACAGGAGGAGAGGGGGAGCATCCTGAGCCACGAGAGGAGAGAGGCAGGGTTTAAAGGTGAGCAGGTGTGGAGAGGAGACTGGATCTTCCACCAGGGAAACCTGTAGGCACAACAGGCAACAGGGGGTAAGCAGTGTAAGTCCTGGTAGGTGAGGAGATCCTTTAGGTGGGTGGGGCCCCAAGGTGAGTTTCTTTGGCTTGTTAATGAGTAGAGAGGCTGCAGCCCATCCTCAAACAGTAGGGTCAAGACCCTTTAGTAGATAAGCCACAGGGGCAAAGGTTGGCCCCAGCATGTGTCCGAGGACCCTTAGAGCAAATCCCTGCTTTTCAGCCACCTGAAGGTGAAATGGGTGAGTGAGATCAGGGAGGTGGAGAGAGGGGCCTGGAGGAGGCCTGCAGAGCCTGGTGAGGGGCTCTGTAACAGAGGCAATAGGGGTTCAGAGAGGGGGCCCTGGGCCGCATCATATACAGGCTTAGCCAATATGGAGTAGTTAGGAATCCAAGCTCTGAGGAATCCCGCCACACCCAGAAAGGAGAGAATGTCTTCCTCAGTAGAGGGGTTGGTCTGTTAGTGATGAGGCCCTATCTATCAACCGTCATGGCCGTGTGTAGGGTCAGGAGGAGGCCTAGGTCCATCACCATTGCCAAGGAGAGCTGTACCTTGGATGGAGATGCCCTATAGCCACGGGCAGAAAGGAAGTGGAGAAGTTTACAGGTGTCCTGATGGCTGACCTCAAGGGGGGACTGCAAAGAAGGAGGTCATCAACATGCTGTGGCACCATAGGCTGAGTGAGATGTAGGGGAACTAGGTCCTTAGCCAAGGCCTCTCTGAAGGTATGAGGGCTGTCCCGGAACCCTTGGGGGAAACTGTCCCCGTCAGCTGAGTGAGTTATAAGACTCAGGGTCTGTCCATGGGAAGGTGAAAGTGTCCTGAGAGTCAGAATGGAGGGGACAGAGAAGAAGGCACCTGTCAGGTCTAGCACTGAGCAGTAAGAGGTCCCTGAAGGAGTGGAGGAGAGAAGGGTACAAGGATCGGTCACCACGGGATGGACTGGGACGACCACAGAGTTCATGGAAGGGAGCTCTTGGGCCAAGCGGTAGGAACCGTTAGGCTTTTTCACTGCCAAGATGGGGGTGTTATAAGGGGAATGAGGAGGTCTGAGGAAGCCCTTTCACAAGAGTCTTGAATGAGAGGTGTAAGCCCAGGAGTTTTTAGGGAGAGCGGGTGTTGTGATTGACCAGAAAATGGAGGGGGCCTTTGAGACAGATGTGGGGCTCTTGGTGTGAGGCAATAGAGGACTTCAAGCTCCCCAGACAGTAGGGTCACTTGGAAGGGGGTAATGGGAGGCCCTGGCAGACGAATAGGGGATGGCCCTCAGGTCAGGGTGAGGATCAGGGGAGTGGCCGGCGAGTCTGGATGGAAGTGTATATGACGGGAGAAGGAAAGCGTAGCCCCCAACTTTGTGAGGAAGGCCCTTCCCATAAGGGGGACAGGGCACTGTAGAATGACCAAAAAGGAGAGGGTGAAAACCAGAGCATCAAAGGCACTAACTTGGCCAGGTATCTGTAGGGCTGGTCAGGTTCACCCTCTACCCTGACAGTAGAGGTCACAGAACGAGTGGTAGCCCGCAGAACCCCTTGAGGACTGAATATGTAGCCCTGATGTCCAGGAGGAAGGACACAGGCCTACCTGAAACACTCAGGGCTACCCTGGGCTCCCATGGAGTGATGGTAGTGGTCAGTAATGGGGACCTGGGCTTCAACAGTCCTCTGCAGCCAGTCCTAAGTTGGAAAGGGGAACCAGAAGGGCCAGATGGCCAGGGGTGCTATGGGCTTGGGGACAGTCAGCGACCCAGTGTCCCTCCTGATGGCATTTAGGACAAGGGCCTGGAGTCTTAAGAGGCTTAGGACATGTATGAGCCCAGTGACCCGTCTGACCACATTTAAAACAGGGTCCGGGCAGTCCCGAGGGGCCCTCCCGTGGGCCAGTGAAACCTGGGACAGATGCTTCCGGACCTTCTCATCTCTCCCATTACACACCTTAAAGGGCACTTCCAAACCTCAGCTTGGGGAGTTAAGGACCCCCTGTTGAAGTGCCTTAGTTTGGCCTTAATATCGGGGAAACTCTGGGAGGAAAAGTAGTCATTAGTAGTGGTCTCCCATCTGCAGCCTCAGGTCCAGGTTAGTATATTGTAATAAAGCCTGGTCAGGGGGTCTGAAATGCGGAAGGTTTCCATTCTTATCTGGGATGACTTCCTGGAGCCTTTCATAATTTCTGGCCTTGTGGGCTGCCTTTCTCAGTCCTGCCATGAGGCAAGGGATGAGTTGGTTTCTACTGGTTACTCCTCCAGGTGAATTCTAATCCCAACTGGGTCCTGACCAGGGGCCATTTCAGTGCCCATCGGATGGGCAGGGGAGGTCTGATGTACCCCATCAGCATAATTTCTAGCTTGCTCCCAACTCACCTGTGCTCCTCGGGCAGGAGACTGTTAGACAAGGTCATATGGACATTGTGGAAGGTCAAGTCATATGATTGAGTCAGATATTGAAACTCTGATGTCTGTGGTGGGACTTGAAGTACAGGGCCCAAGCTGCTTTTCTGTGACAGATGTGACAAAGAGAAAGGCATGTGAACCCCGGATGACACCATCTAACCCAGCCACCTTGAGTAGAGGACACAGAGATGCAGGTTGGGTAGAGGCAGCCCATGAGTGTGTGGCAGGAGGAGAGGAGGGCAGAGAGGCCGAGGGGACAGTTGCTGTAAGAGAATCATGGCATGGCAGGGCACATCCACTGGGTGGAAGGAGGAGGAGTCCTGGGTAGGGTCTTCTGTCCCTTGGAAGCAGGCGCAGGGGAGGTGAGGGCTGAGAGGACTTGTGCGGGAGAGCAGGGGTTGCAGAGAGAGGGCATGGAATGCAGAGAGGAGAAGCCTGAACTTAAGCTATCTCTTTCCATTTTCCTCAACGCTCACAATAGTTGAAAAGATCCCTGATAATATTGGGATCTAGAGTGCCATTAAGTGGCATTTAGAGTCGTTATCCAAAGGATATTGAGGCCAGATACGACTGCACAAGTGGATAAGTTTTGGGGGTTTAGGTCTGGGGTGAGAGAGAGGGACCCTAGATTAGCCAGGAGGCAGCCTGGGGGACTATGAGAGGGAATGGATGAGGAGCTACCCACGGTGAGACGTAGGAGGTGAGTCTGGAGGTGAGGCGTCCCACAGTCTCTAGTATCTCCCAGTTGAGAGGATGGTTACGCTCAGGGGGTCGTCACCACCTCTGGGTAAGCATCGGGGCAGGAACCCATAGAGGCACTTGGGTGCCTGGCCGGGACTACGTAGTGGGGCAGAAGCCGTAGAGATGAACCCAAGGCCTAAAAGTTCTCACCAGGAACAACTCCCAGTCACCCTCGGTGGTTTTTTCTCAAAACCCAGGACCCAAATAACAGAGCACCTGTAGTCCCAGTTGGTCGACAGTAGGGATCAGCCGTAGCTGTGAAAGCTGGGGCTGGGGGTGCCCCCGACCACACGGTAACCTGGGAGTGCTGGACGCACAGTCACTTCCCAGGTCCGTAGGTCATTTAGGTCAACCGGAGACAGGGGTCTTACCTGGAATGTCTGGTGGTGGGTGCAGAGAGGGTGTTCAGCAAAATGGAAGGCCTGGTCTCACGATGGAATCCTCATCGGGGCCTGGGGATGCTCAATGACCCTGGAAGAGGGGAGCAGGCACACCAGGGAACCCAATCCTGGGTTTTGGCACCAAAGTGAAGGGAAAGTGAGGAACGAGAGACGGTAAGTGGGAAATGAAGACGGAGAGCAGGCAGAGATGCACACCAGCGTTTATTTGTCAGAGCTGACCTCTAGTGGAGAGGGCAAAACAGGCTTGGGTTTTGGGACTTTTATGGGGAAGGCTCAGGAATCAGAGCCAGGTGGGTCCTAATGTGGGGGTGAAGGGTTGGGATGGTGGAGGAGGTGGTGAGCCTTTCCCTCGGGGCGGAAAAGTGAAACTTTTTCCTTAAAGTGGCATCTGTCACTTAAGATGGCCATCCAGATGCTAAGCCAGGACCTTATAGTGGGGAACCAGGTGGACTGAGCCCAGCCGCTGCCTGTCCCAGACCGTAGCCCCTCGTCCTTGTCCCTCAAGGTCCTCCAGCCCTATCTGCCCTCTGCCTGGCTGCTCCTGCCCTTGGCTCTGGTGGAGGCCACACTGTGTGTGCTAACTATTCAAAGGCACAGACCTTTCTTGGACAGATGTCACATAAGATCAGCTCTGTCCTCTGCCCTGACTGCCCTGCACCCCCAGGCCAGGTCCAGGGTGAATCTCCAGCTTGTCCAGGACAGAGCACAGGCCTGAGGACCAGAGAGGTCTGGCAAGAGGGGACTGGATCCAGTGGCAGGGCGGCCAACCAGGCCCCAGGCTCTCGGGGACACACCTCTGCAGTCCCTGCCAGGGGCACCCTCCAGTGTGGAGCCAAGCCCAAGGGATGAGCTAGAGTGGGGGCAAGGGGGTGTCCCTGGGGAGATCCAGGACTGGCAGTTGCCCAAGGACCCCTGGGTTGGCTTCTTTCCCTCCACTTCAGAGAACAGGGGACCCCTGGGTCAGAATCAAAGTGCTTCCTGAGGTCACCCTGGAGATCCCAGTAGTAGTAAGGGCCTAGGGCTGGTTGGGACCCCTGCCCATGTGCCCCCTCAGCTAGGCCAGAGGGTCATTGTCCTGGAGACTTGACATGTGATTTGAGAAGAGAGTGAAAGCAGCTGGATGTTGGGAGGAGGCGAGAGAAGGCCAGGACCCTGCAGGTGGGGCCCCTGCCAGACGTGAGCCAGAATGAGCCGTGTCTCTCCACAGCGTCAGAGTTGAGGAACAACGGTGAATTCCTAGGTGACACCACGTCCAGCAGTGACAGTTCACTGGGTACTCATGGGTCACCTGGTGTCATAAGCTAGGCAGTCACAGGTTCTTTTATCCCAATCTTAACTTAGAATATTAGGAATTCTCGAGGGCCACTTGATGCTTCACAGGGTTATACATGCAGCTTGTGGAAAGGCTGCACAGGGTGCAGCGGCCACAGGGCTCAGGAGGCTGAGCTGAGAAGAAAGGGAGATGGCAAGTGGGAATGCAGAGTCACTGCAGGAGGTCAGAGGAGGTGAGGGCCAGCAGGGACAGGGGTGAGGGCAGGAGCTGTCAAAGCACAGGAGCTTATTCTAGACCAGGGCCTGGGAAGGCAGTTTCAGTGTCAATGTGGAGTGTCATCTTGACATATCAACAAGGAGTGGGACTCACGTGATCGTCCTGGGCAGGAGACACTGCACTGTGCTGAACCCCAAATACAGACCTGGAGAGTCATCACTGTAAGTGACTTCCCAGAAAATTTCATGACAGTGACCAGGTGCTGGGGTCAGCATGCACGGTGACCAGTCTCGGGGTGCTCCGAAATTTCTGCACCTTAGGGGAGGGGCTGCATTGGGGGTCTGGTGTCTTCGATGAGCTCACCGGCATGGTACTTTCCCATATGGGTTTAGCACACACGTGCATCCCTGTGCTTCTGATTAATTCAGGAAGTCCACAGGTAGTCGTTCTTATTAGCAAAATTAATTAACTTACCAGCTTGTGTGTTATGGTGGTGCCAGGCAGACGGACGCTGTTGACTTGTAAACACAACATGTGGAGTCCTTCGACCAGCACTCAAACTGAAAATGGATTAAGTTAGGAAGAGTCACTGAGGGCAGCTACAACCTGAGGACTGCTGTTCCACACACCATGGAGTCACTCAGAGCAGGCACAGCCTGAGGACTGCTGTTCCACACACCATGGAGTCACTCAGGGCAGGCACAGCCTGAGGACTGCTGTTCTACACAACACACAGTGACAAGGGAAGGCACAGCATGAGGACTGCTGTTCCACACACCATGGAGTCACTCAGGGCAGGTACAACCTGAGGACTTCTGTTCTACACACCATGGAGTCACCAGGGCAGGCGCAGCCTGAGGACTGCTGTTCTACACACCATGGACTCACAAAGGGCAGGCGAAGGCTGAGGAGTGCTGTTCTACACATAATAGAGTCACTCAGGGAAGGCACAGCTTGAGGATTGCTGTTCCACACACCATGGAGTCACCAGGGCAGGCGCAGCCTGAGAACTGCTGTTCGACACACCATGGAGTCACCAGGGCAGGTGCAGCCTGAGGACTGCTGTTCTACACACCATGGAGTCACTAGGGCAGGCGCAGCCTGAGAACTGCTGTCCTACACACCATGGAGTCACCAGGGCAGGCACAGCCTGAGGACTGCTGTCCTACACACCATGGAGTACCTAGGGGATGCACAGCCTGAGGACTGCTGTCCTACACACCATGGAGTCACTAGGGCAGGCACAGCCTGAGGAATGCTGTCCTACACACCATTGAGTCACCAGGGCAGGCACAGCCTGAGGACTGCTGTCCTACACACCATGGAGTCACCAGGGCAGGCACAGCCTGAGGACTGCTGTTCTACAGACCATGGAGTCACTAGGGCAGGCGCACCCTGAGGACTGCTGTCCTACACAACATGGAGTCACTAGGGCAGGCGCAGTCTGAGGACTGCTGTTCCACACACCATGGAGTCACTAGGGCAGGCACAGCCTGAGGACTGCTGTTCTACACACCATGGAGTCACCAGGGCAGGCACAGCCTGAGGACTGCTGTTCTACACACCATGGAGTCACCAGGGCAGGCACAGCCTGAGGACTGCTGTTCTGCACACCGTGGAGTCACTAGGACAGGCACAGCCTGAGGACTGCTGTTCTACACACCATGGAGTCACTAGGGCAGGCACAGCCTGAGGACTGCTATTGTACACACCATGGAGTCACTAGGACAGGCACAGCCTGAGGATTGCTGTTCTACACACCATGGAGTCACTAGGGCAGGCACAACCTGAGGACTGCTGTCCTACACACCATGGAGTCACCAGGGCAGGCACAGCCTGAGGACTGCTGTTCTACACACCATGGAGTCACTCGGACAGGCAAAGCCTGAGGACTGCTGTTCTACACACCATGGAGTCACTCAGGGAAGGCACAGCCTGAGGACTGCTGTTCTACACACCATGGGGTCACTCAGGGCAGGCACAGCCTGAGGACTGCTGTCCTACACACCATGGAGTCACTCAGGGCAGGCACAGCCTGAGGACGGCTGTTCCACACCATGGAGTCACTCAGGGCAGGCACAGCCTGAGGACTGCTGTTCTACACAACACACAGTGACAAGGGAAGGCACAGCCTGAGGAATGCTGTTCTACACACCATGGAGTCACTAGGACAGGCACAGCCTGAGGACTGCTGTTCTACACAACACACAGTGACAAGGGAAGGCACAACCTGAGGACTGCTGTCCTACACACCATGGAGTCACCAGGGCAGGCACAGCCTGAGGATTGCTGTTCTACACACCATGGAGTCACTAGGGCAGGCACAACCTGAGGACTGCTGTCCTACACACCATGGAGTCACCAGGGCAGGCACAGCCTGAGGACTGCTGTTCTACACACCATGGAGTCACTAGGGCAGGCACAGCCTGAGGACTGCTGTTCTACACACCATGGAGTCACTCAGGGCAGGAACAGCCTGAGGACTGCTGTCCTACACAACATGGAGTCACTCAGGGCAGGCAGAGCCTGAGGACTGCTCTTCTACACACCATGGAGTCACTAGGACAGGCACAGCCTGAGGACTGTTGTTCTGCACACCATGGAGTCATTAGGGCAGGTGCAGCCTGAGGACTGCTGTCCTACACACCATGGAGTCACTAGGGCAGGCACAGCCTGAGGACTGCTGTGCTACACACCATGGAGTCACTAGGGCAGGCACAGCCTGAGGACTGCTGTCCTACACACCATGGAGTCACTCAGGGCAGGTGCAGCCTGAGGACTGCTGTTCTACACACCATGGAGTCTCCAGGGCAGGCGCAGCCTGAGGAATGCTGTTCTACACACCATGGAGTCACTCAGGGCAGACACAGCCTGAGGACTGCTGTCCTACACACCATGGAGTCACTCAGGGCAGGTGAAGCGTGAGGACTGCTGTTCTACACACCATGGAGTCACTAGGACAGGCACAGCCTGAGGACTGCTGTCCTACACACCATGGAGTCACTCAGGGCAGGTGAAGCGTGAGGACTGCTGTTCTACACACCATGGAGTCACTCAGGGCAGGCACAGCCTGAGGACTGCTGTTCTACACCCATGGAGTCACTCAGGGCAGGCACAGCCTGAGGACTGCTGTCCTACACACCATGGAGTCACCTGGGCAGGCGCAGCATGAGGAATGCTGTTCTACACACCATGGAGTCACCAGGGCAGGTGCAGCCTGAGGACTGCTGTCCTACACACCATGGAGTCACTAGGGCAGGCACAGCCTGAGGACTGCGGATCGACACACCATGGAGCAACTAGGGCAGGCACAGCCTGAGGACTGCTGTCCTACACACCATGGAGTCACCAGGGCAGGCACAGCCTGAGGACTGCTGTCCTACACACCATGGAGTCACTAGGGCAGGCTCAGCCTGAGGACTGCTGTTCTACACACCATGGAGTCACTAGGACAGGCACAGCCTGAGGACTGCTGTTCTGCACACCATGGAGTCACTAGGGCAGGTGCAGCCTGAGGACTGCTGTCCTAAACACCATGGAGTCACTAGGGCAGGCACAGCCTGAGGACTGCTGTGCTACACACCATGGAGTCACTAGGGCAGGCACAGCCTGAGGACTGCTGTCCTGCACACCATGGAGTCACTAGGGCAGGCACAGCCTGAGGACTGCTGTCCTATACACCATGTAGTCACTCAGGGCAGGCACAGCCTGAGGACTGCTGTTCCACACACCATGGAGTCACCAGGGCAGGTGCAGCTTGAAGACTGCAGTTTTAAACCATGGAGTCAGTCAGGGCAGGCACAGCCTGAGGACTGCTGTTCTACACACCATGGAGTCACCAGGGCAGGCACAGCCTGAGGACTGCTGTCCTACACACCATGGAGTCACTAGGACAGGCACAGCCTGAGGACTGCTGTTCTACACACCATGGAGTCACTAGGGCAGGCACAGCCTGAGGACTGCTGTTCTGCACACCATGGGGTCACTAGGGCAGGCGCAGCCTGAGGACTGCTGTTCTGCACACCATGGAGTCACTCAGGGCAGGTGCAGCCTGAGGACTGCTGTTCTACACACCATGGAGTCACTAGAGCAGGCACAGCCTGAGGACTGCTGTTCTACACACCATGGAGTCACTAGGGCAGGCACAGCCTGAGGACTGCTGTTCTGCACACCATGGAGTCACTAGGGCAGGCACAGCCTGAGGACTGCTATTCTACACACCATGGAGTCACTCAGGGCAGGTGCAGCCTGAGGACTCCTGTCCTACACACCATGGAGTCACCAGGACAAGCTCAGCCTGAGGACTGCTGTCCTGCACACCATGGAGTCACTAGGGCAGGCACAGCCTGAGGACTGCTGTTCCGCACACCATGGAGTCACTCAGGGAAAGCGCACCCTGAGGACTGCTGTTCTACACACCATGGAGTCACTCAGGGCAGGCACAGCCTGAGGACTGCTGTTCTACCCACCATGGAGTCACTAGGGCAGGCACAGCCTGAGGACTGCTGTTCCACACACCATGGAGTCACCAGGGCAGGTGCAGCCTGAGGACTGCTATTCTGCACACCATGGAGTCACCAGGGCAGGCACAGCCTGAGGACTGCTGTTCTACACACCATGGAGTCACTAGGGCAGGCACAGTCTGAGGAATGCTGTTCTACACACCATGGAGTCACTCAGGGCAGGCACAGCCTGAGGACTGCTGTCCTACACACCATGGAGTCACTAGGGCAGGCACACCCTGAGGACTGCTGTTCTACACACCATGGAGTCACTAGGGCAGGCGCAGCCTGAGGACTGCTGTTCTACACACCATGGAGTCACTAGGGCAGGCGCAGCCTGAGGACTGCTGTTCTACACACCATGGAGTCACTCAGGGCAGGCACAGCCTGAGGACTGCTGTTCTACACACCATGGAGTCACTCAGGGCAGGCACAGCCTGAGGACTGCTGTTCTACACACCATGGAGTCACTAGGGGAGGCACAGACTGAGGACTGCTGTTCTACACACCATGGAGTCACTAGGGGAGGCACAGACTGAGGAAAGCTGTTCTGCACACCATGGAGTCACTCAGGGCAGGCACAGCCTGAGGACTGCTGTTCTACACACCATGGAGTCACTCAGGGCAGGCACAGCCTGAGGACTGCTGTTCTGCACACCATGGAGTCACTCAGGGCAGGCACAGCCTGAGGACTGCTGTTCTACACACCATGGAGTCACCAGGGCAGGTGCAGCCTGAGGACTGCTGTTCTACACCATGGAATCACTCAGGGGAGGCACAGCCTGAGGACTGCTGTTCTGCACACCATGGAGTCACTATGGCAGGCACAGCCTGAGGACTGCTGTTCTACACACCATGGAGTCACTAGGGCAGGCACAGCCTGAGGACTGCTGTCCTACACACCATGGAGTCACTAGGACAGGCAAAGCCTGAGGACTGCTGTTCTACACACCGTGGAGTCACCGGGGCAGGCACAGCCTGAGGACTGGTGTTCTACACACCGTGGAGTCACCGGGGCAGGCACAGCCTGAGGACTGCTGTTCTACACACCATGGAGT